CTACTGTGCCCCACCCGTACAATGCACTACATGCAGTGGGGTGAAGAGTTGGGCAGAGGGTGCAGCAGCTTCGGACGGTCGGGGGTCCTCTCTTTATGCCACAGTTTCATTCAGGTAGAATGTGATTTCATTGTGCCCGATGTCAAAACGTCACATATGTTCAACGACACCGCCTTTACCACTGTGGAAGTCGGGAGACGCAACCAGAGGCGGATCCAGCTCAGTGTTTTTTTTTGGGGGGGGGCGGGGCAAACCGTTAACAATTTATCGATTCTTTCCATGCCTCGTCCATAGGCGTAATGTTAAAATTATGCCGTTTGGGGGGGGGGGCAAATGACCATTTTGCCCCCCCCCTGGATCCGCCACTGGACGAAACAAATTGTTCGGGAGGTCCCTGTCTCCCTTCCCTTCCCCATACACGCACGAATACCTACCTTAAAGGGACTATCCCACCTTCTAAAATGTTGTTAAAACCAGGTAAATTGTGCCCGACTTTATAGATTGGATGACCAGGAACACGGTTCTGGCATTTATTTTTCATTTAACATCTTAGGCTTCCCATATTCCAAACACAAACTTTCAAATATGTGACGTCATAGCCCAAAATTACCTCCTTCCCCAGGCCACATTACTGTCATAAAGCTGATTGTTTTTACTCTGTAGGCACCACAACAAAGTTCAGACCAAGTTTTAAGCGATTTTTCAACGAACAAACCCATTTAAATCAGAATGACTAAACGAGGTGACGTCACACTAACGGTCGCTCCATGTTGAAGATAGGGCCTTGCGCAAGGCCCATTTTCAAATGAAGGGAACGAATTTCTTCAACACCAAGAGGCCGCGGGGGTTGCAACCTAGATAGATAGTGGTTTCTGAACCTCGCCGCAAACTTGGCTATCTCAACTCAAACCCCATGTTAAAGGTGGGATAGTCCCTTTAACTGAGCGTTAAGTTAACACTCACCAATATAAAAATGCCTTCATTTATCCAATAGCAATATGGATAGCTTTTAACTCTCGCCGGCCAAGGGGGAGTGGGTGCCGCCCCCCCCCCCCCATAGGTTTTTTCGTGAAAGCTCGGAACGCGCCGGCAATAATAGAGCTGAAAAGTTGGCATGCCTGACGTTTGATTCAAACTGGATCTTGTGACACCAACCACGTCCACATCTTTCAACCTTCAGGTCATGTCAGGTCACTGACCTATAACCGTAGAACGTCATAAATTAACCTCTGCAATTGCATTCTGCACGGTCCTCAGAAGTCGCAACATCGCTGCAACGCCCTCAGAGCTAAAGAAACTTTAGCTATAGGGAGATAAAGCTCACAGGACGTAGCATGCTCCAGAGATCTTACAACTTGTACATCCCGGCTTTCACGTAAAGGTCACATGAGGCATGGGTGGAGCTTTTCGAGGGAAGTTGGGGGGGGGGGGGCAAAAAGTCGTCAAACTCAAACCCACAATGTCCGATATATGAAGTTGAATAAAATGCCACACTGAATCAATTTCTATCATTACAGATATAATATTTTGCATTAAACAGACATTCCAAAGCTCTTCAATGCGAAACAGATTAATTTGCAGAGCAACAAAGTCTTAGAAATCAGCGAAAGTTGGTGGGGCAAGACGCTTATTGGTGGGGTAAAATACCAAGTTGGTGGGGCAGCCACCCCACCAACTGTATGGGAAGCTCTGCCCCTGACATGAGGTCAGGTCGGTCACGTGACCTCACCATTAAAATTTATAAGTCAATGAGGAAATATGAGATCTATTATTTTGGCGCCGGGAATGATATGAAACTCTCCTAAGCACATGGAATCGTGATTTCATGCATTCCTTGCAAGATCCATTGCTTCAATTTTGCATTGTTGATCTTGCGTGACGTCATTTAAGACTTCGCTAAGGTCATAAGAGTTCTTCGTCAATAACTCCCGATCCAATTGAGCTAGCAAGTCGGTAAAGCCACCGATGGACTCGGAAAGACCTGACGAATCTAATGATATGCGATATGATCTCCTTCGACCAGCTTCGTGACCTAAGGGGCTCTGACCTGACCTTGACCCGAGGTCAACACTTGTAGTTGACCCACCCGAGGTCAACACTTGTAGTTGACCCACCCGAGGTCAACACTTGTAGTTGACCCCATCCGAACAAAAAATAGATATACCTACCATTCGACGCGCCTGAGCTAGGCAAACACTATGGTGCCAAAATCACGGCTCTGCGGCCATTTTTGCGAAGATATTTAGGTACATACCAAACACCAAACCAGTGCTTTGGGCCACTTGACCTGACATCAGAGATCACCGGCTGACCTGAGACCTTGAAATCGGGTATACCCGCTCGTACCAGCGCACACGCTCGTTTTTTTTCGGCGAGGTTCTGGCTCTATTATGGGCGAAACGGCGAGGCGAGGGGGTCGTAGTACCAACCTACCCCGGTTGTGGGCTGGGGGTTAGGTATGTAAAAAAAAAAAAACAGTTCTGGCAAGGGTTAAGCCGTGTAGCTTATTATTTAACCATCATTTACCATTAACATGCCATTAACCTGTAACCATCTGATGTACCTATATAGGTTATCGGACAGCCCGAAGCTGGAAGCATACCGCATAGAAAACAGACGAATGGATCATGATCATCATGATCACGAATGGATCAGACGAATGGTAGCATGCGGTACCCCGACTTACAACGCTAAATTTCAAAATCAAGTGGTGTCTGAAGTCAGTTGAAAATACTTTTCGCACTGTGAAGTGTAACGAACCTTTTTGTATCCTAAACTTTGTGAGTCATAGGGCATAGGCGGCGGAACGGGGGGGGGGGGGAGGGGCACCAGGGGGCGGGGCACCGTGCCCCCTTGCTTGATTTTGCCATTTCAACATTAGCCCTATGGCCGTTGCATGGAAAGAATGGGACCAAAAGTCGGCAGTGCCCCCCCCCCCCGGCCCCCTTGATAGAAGCCTGAATGTGTGCCGCCGCTACTGGTGAAAGCCTTATCGAAAAGTGCTCCAACTTCCAAGAATATTGACCTGAGCGTGAATGTGAGTATGCGTTAAAGGTCACCAATATTTGGAAAAAAATATGAATCTGAATATTGATTAAACTATCAATATTCGGACAAACTTGAATGTGTAGGTATGTGAATGTGAATAAATAACATGCAAGTATACGCACATATTTTAGTGGCACTGTTCATATGAAATGTGGCGCACTTGTTTCAGCTACGGTTTTCATTCTTGCAAACGCATCACAACAATAACACAAGCTCCCAACACGTTGACAACACGTGGGGAGATATCGGTTGTGCACGGTGCACGTGAGAAAGGGATATAATATAAGCAAGGAAGAAAGTTCGGTTAAGTAAGATATTTCTTATATTTATCTTGGGCAAGAGCATAGATATCAAAGGGCAAGGGGCGCGGGGAACCTGCCCGGAACATGAACGCAGTCTAATGCGGCCCTCCCACTCCAACTCCCAGCAAAAGAATGGTTGGTCAGCCTATGTGCTTTTGGTGTAATAACTTTGAATGACAGAGACACTCCTGTAAAAGGACTCAATAGAAATGACAAGAGGGTTCGTGCACACACTTCGGCAATGGTTTTCAGCAGCCATTAGACGTATTCATCAATGCGGATTGCTTATTGTGATGTTGGCAACCAACCACTAAATACCTGAGGCATGAGGGTGAGGGCCGTACGCTACAGCTAGGAAACCCCTAATTTGTTTTTTGAAACTGACAACAACAGGATTGTATCAGTATTATTCATGTACAAGGTCGGTAGGTACTAGGTAGGTACAGGTCTCGCGGGTTTTAGCGGTAGGTTTTGCACCTAGAAAATTTAGTGTACTTTAGGCTATATCTTCGTCGTCTTAGGCTTTTAAGCATTTAAGATGCGATCGACTTGTTGGGTAACAAGCCGGCCATGATCGTGTAAAATGGCTTCATCGTAGATCGGTTAGTTTCTGAGATATAACCGGAAAGGTAAAAGTGCAAAACCTACTGCCTAATCTCGCGAGACAGTGTGTCCAAAATTGTAATGATGCGGGGAAATCCACCCATAATGAAAAGTATAATCACATCCTAAAAAATATAAATAAAAACATCCGCACGGCAGCCAAGACTTAAACAACTTCCAACCCAAACGTCTAGGAGCAAGAGAAACACAAACCTCGCAAAGTCTCACAACACGCCAAGACAACCATTCGAAGGCCAGTCTATAATGTTCAAATATATGACCCGACCTAAAAAAAAACTCATTTATCATCCCGAATATCAGAATGCCTTCATAGTTTTATCAGTATTTAATATTTCTACATCATTTTCTCGTGACACATATAAAACAGTGCTTAAAAAGGGTCGAAGTCAAGTTTTATGAAAATAGCGACATCCTTACCGGCCTTTTTTCTACATCCTCCCCCTAACGTAAAATGAATTTAGCCACACTGTCGCGAGACCTGTACCTCGAGCCTCAGTATTAACTGGATTCAGTCAGCTGGCTCATGGCTGGCCAGCTGATGATGTATGATAGCTACCATGTTTATGAATATATAATATAAGCATGGTAGTAGATGGACATAAATACACAAAACTCAAAAGGGCACTAATTGAGAAATTAATGAATAGTTATTTAGTTTTTTTATATCTAGCGCTGATATATAACAAGCTATGCTAGCGCCTTCAGACGGCGGCAGACGGCAAATAATCCAGTTAATACTGTGCCCGGTACCTCCAGTTGCTCCTGTCCACTGCAGAAGTAATGTGCGGTATCAGTCGCGGTTATGCTTTGCATCTGTATCTTAGGAACGATTTGCCAGACCACAATGAAACCTGGAATGTAGCTTACATAGACGTGGGTGTCATTATCTTTGCAGCTATACCTAAGTTTATCTTTTGCTGGCTACTCCTGGACATTGTTCGGTCTCAGTTTTTTTATCAGCAGGCTGTGAGCATGCTGCTACTTCTTGGCTCCTCATTGGTCGAGTCCAGCGCGGTTGTTTTCGCCCCACTGGTCGAAAGTGGCTATTCATTGGAGCAATGGGAGGCCAAGAAGCGCCAGCAATTACTTCTGTAGGTATATGGGGAAACCCGACAGCTCGCTGATAAAAACAGCCACCGAACAGAGCTCTGGATCACTTCATACTTAAAAATTGTCAGTCTAAGCCATCTGTTGAGGTTTGTAAAGCCTCGCATTTCTGAAGCGGTGGGCTGCTTATGGGCCTCGTTGTCTTGTATTGTGTTAAATGTAATCAGATGAGGTAAGCAAATCAAAGTATGGCTGTTGTGCAGACCCAATCCAATATGAAGACATCACTTGTGATTGGGTACAAGTCTGATGATGATTGTTAAATGAATAAACAAGCATAAAATCATGTTTGCAACTTTTATGCATAATGCTGAAGTGTCTGTCTTATTGCAGCATTAATTGAAAACCCAATTAATTTGCTGGTTTCAGAAGACAGGCATCAGTCTGGAAGAATGTGGCCAGCTGACTTTAATACCTACAGAGTGGCAGAAGAGACAATCACTTGTCCCTTCAACAAGGCACACCAAATTACTGGGATGCGATATCATCTTCACATCGTCAGGTGTGCCAAGGTGAGGAATGAACACGCTTCTTGTTAGAATTTCAGAGAATCACTCATTCAGTTATGACCAGAAGAGTTAACTCAACTTATGCTAAATGCCTATATGAAATGTGTCAAAAACATTCCGAGAAAAGCAGTGTTAGAATACTGTTGATGAGCCATGAGGAGAGGCTCGAAAAGTACAGGGTGTCTCAAAAGTTCGTTTACACATTTCCCATGTCAATAAAGCATATAAGAACCGGCCAAAAATATAAGGTTTTGCTGTCCGTGTGTACACTAGACAAATATGCATGCTTTGACAACTGATTCGGAAGGTTGGAAACCAAACCCTTTGCTGCATCTCCAAAAATATTTGCCCATACCGATTTTCGTCACTCCGTCAGCTGCCGGAGGCTGATAAAAGGTTACCAGCTTTCAAGCTCTTGTAGGGGAATCCCCCGCAGTTTCTGCCTCGGATTTAGGTTTGACGAGCTCCCCGGCAACATCCGCTTCTCCCTGAAAGCCGATAGCTTGCATCGACACCATCCGTGAGTATTTTGTAGGTCTTCTCTGGCGCTAACTCCTTCATGAATGACTGGCGCCGACCTCCCAAGCACCATTTTCCTTTTCAAAACAACCCCATTCCTGAACAAATGGGAAGTGCCAGGGGAAAATTTTTCGCAGCATATCGTAGCAGAATGTGTCGGCCATCTGTTTCTTAGACACATTTTGCAAAATTTGCAAACCCCGAACGCTCGTCATTCCCAATGCCAAGACCTTCGCTGGGTTCCGGAGTGTTTTCCTCAGGAGAGGTTCTGCTTTGTAAACGGCCAAAACCTGTCCATCGTGCGGTTTTGTCCGGATTTTGTGTAAAAGAAAGCTATTTGCTCCAGATCTGCCTCTTGAAACTTCGTTAGATAAAACTTTACATTAATTGACACTTTTGGAGGGTCACTTGTCCTCGGCATTGACGATTTTCGCATTATTTTCCCTCAAAATTTAGCGTTATAGATATTATAAACAATTTTAAATGATATTTTGTCTTTATTTTATGATGACCTGCAATTTTTGAAACTGGGTAACCTCTGTCTGTGAGCTTCTAGTCAGTTTTCAATAGTTAGGACTGCATGTTCAGCTGCTTTCCGGAGCACGAGTCTGCTGCGGTACAAGGGTCGTTCAAAGCGCTGTTAGTCTCGCAAGGGTTTGTCCTTCAAAAATTTTAGCCACCGTTTTTATTAGATGACCATCATGTTGTACTCATCCTCGCCGACACTTTGCCATGTGTCATTTCCGACCTAACCATTCCCATTACTCGTGAAGCAGAGTTTCTCAGCCGACCCGAGTATGCGACCTCCATTTTCATGCCTGATCCATGGTCAGAGGTGAACCCTTTTTGTGAGCTCATGAAGGGTCGAATGCGCTTGAAAACAATGAGGCTGCTTGAGGAAGGTTGTTACCAATGCCCATGCAAAATTTCGACAGTTAATTTCATGTTGATTCAGAATTATTGACAAAAAAGCATGGCTGGTACCTGTAAGCGAACTTTTGAGACACCCTGTATATTCCTCACTTATATAGCCCTCACTTGTATCATAGCCTGTTGCTGCAGGTGTTGGTGTAATTCATGCTGATATTTTTTAATGTGTAAGTTTATAAAGGAAAACACAATCAGTGCTGGAAAATATGAGGCCGCTTTCTGGCCCGGCGTTATATTATCCGGTTGGGTTAATCTCGTCCAGCGTTTAGCCTTTCGGGACCCACTCAGGGTCGTGGTTGTTTTCGCCGCTCGCCCCAGTCGAGATGCAAAGTTAATAGTCGCACGAAGCTTATTGAGGGCCAGCCAAACCAGCCTAGGCTGGAGTTACTGTTAATGCATATAGATAAAAGAGAAAGGTTTTGTAGAATCGATTAATTTCGAAGTTGTGCATTCAAAGGCCTAAATAAACTTCGTGTGACCATCAACTTCGCATCTCGAATGGGCCGAGCGGCGAATACAACCGCGGCCCTGAGAGGGTCCCGAAAGGCTAAGCGCTAGACGGGGTTAACCCACCCGGAGAATAAAACACCGGGACCAGAAAGCGGCCTCATTTTCAGTACTGAACACAATAGCTGGTACCAAAGTGCTGTGCATAGTACGTAGGTAAGAATATGGTTTGATGTTATTCCTTATATAAATTTAGTCCGAACCTTTTTGTTAGTGCCTGTTGGCATCAAATGGCTTTGGTGATTCGATACGATATCAACTTAATCGTAATTTAACATGTATTTTAACCTCGCAAGTGATTTCCATGTCAATACACCGTCATGATTTACTAATCACTTTTCATTTCGTTTCGTTATTCTTCTGATTTCTTCGTTTTACTTCGCGGTTCTTAGTGTTTCTTCATTTGTTTCGTTTCCTATATTATATTTATCGTTTCGAGGTTTGCCATTCAAGCCATTTCAAAAATTTTCTTTCTCTTCCTTTTTGTCTCTCGAGTCTACCTAAATTCGTTAAACTTGTCATTTAAATTTTCACGAGCGGTTATCGCTGCAAAGCCGTCGGGTCCTGGATTTTATGCAATTGTGACTCTTGGTTTTGCTGCACCAACACCCTCCCCTTGAAACATCTATGAGGTTTCAACAACTTCTTGTTTGTATCTTCACAAGCTTCGTCACTGGGCGCTCGAAGGTCGTGCCCCTGACCTTCAGCTTGACGGTACGAACCAGCCCATCGGCGCTGTGCTTCACCCCTAACACTCTACCTAGCGGCCACTGGCCTCGAGGTACATCATCATCTACAAGCAGCACCACATCGCCCACTCCAACATTTGGCCTATCTTTAGCTGTCTCACTGGGTCTTTCTTGTAGTAACGGCAAGTACTCTGTTCGCCAGCGTGTCCAAAACATACTAGCGTAATACGCAGCCTGTTTCCACCGTTTACGACTATCGCAGTCAGACCTATCAAATAAGTTGGTGGGGACTAAATCATACCCATTGCCAGCGAGCAGAATGTGGTTAGGGGTAAGTGGTGGAATGTCACATGAGTCGGCTGAAACTGGCGTCAATGGTCTGTTGTTTATGATGGATTCGACCTCGCACATAATCGTCTGCAACGTTTCATCCTTCATCGCTCCATTGATCACGGTCTCGAGAAGTCTCCGGATCGTTCTAATTTGCCTTTCCCACGCACCTCCATGATGGGACGCTCCTCCCACATTGTATATCCAGTCGATTTCCATTGTCAGCGCCTTGTAGTGGATCCAGTCTTCGTTTTGCTCTTGTCTGTGCAGTTCTCGCTGTAACTCATTATTGGCTCCCACAAAGTTTGTGCCCCTATCCGAACGTAAAACCTTGACGTGACCTCTCCTGCAAACAAATCTTTTTAGGGCGCAAATAAAAGAGTCGGCAGACAGATCATCAGCTACTTCAAGGTGCACGGCTCGTATGGATAAACAGGTAAAGAGCACGCCATAACGCTTAATCTGGCCCCGACCATGTCGCACATAAAATGGCCCAAAGTAGTCGACACCCGTTCTTGTGAATGCCTTTTCCAAAGCCATTACCCTGTCTTCTGGCAAGTTTGCGCATTTTTGCACTTCAACTGGATGAAATTTCTTCTGGCAGAATACGCACGATTTCAACATCCTTCTAACCGTGGCATTCGCTTTGAGAATCCAAAAGTTCTTCCGCAAATCAGCAAGAACATGCTGCCTACCAGCGTGCCCAGAAAGTCTATGAGTGTCGTGCACAAGCATCTCAGTGTAACTGCTGCGAGAAGGCAAAATGACCGGGTGTTTAGCGTTGTAGGTCAGGTCAGCGTTCTGCAAACGTCCTCCAACTCGCAACAATCCATTTTTGAGGAATGGATCCAACTTGTGCAGGGTGCTTGATGCACGGACATGATTTCCCGCGCGAAGTTGAGTAAAGTCTTGAACAAATGCGTTAGTCTGAACATATCTGATGATTTCTTCCTCAGCTATCGTAAGATCCGAGTTCGTTAAGCGTGAGGAGGGGCCCTCCCCGTGTACAATGCGCGATTTTAGAAGCTTCTTTACCTTGAGGATCCAAGCTACCGCACGAATGAGCCTTCTTCGATCGCTGTAATGCTTGAGAAGCTTTTCAATCGGGTCACTTAATGTATGTTTCACGTTTGTTTCGTCCCTCAGAAGATCATTGCTCACACCAATAGAACTCACTAAAACTTTAAGTTCTGGGTCGTCTTCCTTTAACTCCAGTAGAGCTGAAGGTTTTTTGGGCCAGTCCTTTCTCGACTTCCACAAGAATTCTGGTCCTGTCAACCACCGATCACTTTGTTCACCCCTTGAAACATCATCGGCGGGGTTTAGAGCACTTGGTACGAACATCCACTGCTCTTGAGTAGACCCGTCGTGGATAATAGCTAACCTGTTAGCCACGAAGGTGTGGAATCGTGTTTTCCTGTTCGAGATATAGCGCAAGACTGTCGTGCTATCCGTCCAGAATAGCTCCTGAGTGACCTTACAAGGTGACCCTGCATAAATAATCGCATCAGAGAGTAATGCACTGATTCTTACAGCCGTGACGGCCGCCATCAACTCGAGACGGGGGATGGTCACAGTCTTCAGTGGAGCTAAATGTGCCTTTCCCTTCAGAAATGAGCAATGGATATTCCCCGCTGTATCAACAATACGGACGTAAGAGACAGTGCCATATGCCCACTCGCTGGCATCAGCGAAGTGATGCAGCTCGCACGATACGATGCTTCCAAAAGTTGTTGGCTTAATGCAGCGCGGGATCGATATGAGACTTGTTTTAGAAACATTCATCAGCCATGCTACCCACCTTTTCTGCTCTTCTTCCGGGATTTCCCCATCCCAGTTAACCTGTTTTCTGGCAAGATCTTGGAGGATTCTTTTTCCTTGTAGAATAGTCGGGGCAATCATGCCCAACGGATCATAGAGTGAGCTGACAGCGGACAATAGGCCTCGCCTGGTCTTTGACCTTGAAGTGAGACTCGACATGTCTAAGGAAACAGACAAATCATCTTCCTCAGTTTTCCATATTATACC